TGGTTCATTAAAATATAAACAGGTGTAGTGCATCATCATTTATAAAAGTAATTATTCACACCGTACTGCTGCTTAAATTTCTATAGAGNCCAAAGAACTCGAGGTAGCTACAGCCTCTATGCGTTGAATGAGAATAAAACGGATGGTCTAAAACGTCTTTAAAGCATGCGATAGGACGTAAAATTTACCGAAATAATTTAGAATAGAAATACTTGTTTCCTCTTTCTAAAAAGTTGCAATAATAATATGTTAGGAACATTAAAAATTGCGTAGGTACCAACTTATAATTTGATTTCAGCCAACAGTTATGTAATAATTATAATTAATATATTTGTAGGTTTTTCCTATATTATAGGTACTTATAAAGCGTAACTTTTAAAATTGTTTTAGACGATGATTATCTTCATCATACAAAAAAAAAATTAAAATGTTACCGTAGCGATAACTTTACGATCTGCTGCGGTTTAATAAATGTGTAGGAAGTCAATATTCAAGAGCGGAAACCTCATTAGAACTTAATTTATAGGTGCCATGTGGAGATGAGAGTAGAATACAATCTGTGGTTAGTAATGACGGTTTTCTATTTATCTAACGTTAGGGATAAGGTAGATGTTTGTAGAGCTGGTTGAAAAACTCATGGGCCATCACATACGCGAGAAGTTGATCTAATTGCTTTTATATTGTTTATTGTACATTATGGAAACACTAACTCGGTCGTTAAATATGTGTCTCGTTATACAACCAGCACATGAGCTGCAGGTAAACTATAAACAGTGAGGACTAAAGAGGCAAAAATGTAAAAATCGATGAATGGGCGGTGGTTTGTACAACCCAAGGATAAGGCTCATGAAATTTTGAACCACCTCTACATGGATTTGTTAGTATACCTACAATTTCTATTGAATGATGGCGATAAACAAAGTTAAAATTTAAACTAGTTTTTTTAATAAATAATCACATTTAGTGCCTCAGTGCATAAATTGTACCTTTTAATTCTTATTAATTAGAACATTATTCAAACAAGACCAACTTGTATAAAACTGTTAAATACCTCCAACAAACAGCAAGGTTCGTTAGAACGATTCATAGCAGCTTGCGGGTGAATTTTATAAAAATTAAACTTCTAAATTGAGAAAACTTCATACATCTCTATACTTTTGGTTTTGTTTCTTTTGTGACAACACTTCACACATCGCATAATATAATAATATCTATCAAATAGGTAGACGTACCGCAAATTTAAACTGTATATTAGAATCTTGTGATCGTAGCAAAATATAATTGTAGAACACAAAGCAGTAAAACGAATTGGAAAATAACGGTTGGTTAACTCAAATTCCACACGACAGCATCGCAGACAGAATAAATAGCAAAATTCGATACGTAGGTCCACACTATCCCAATTACTCGCATATTCGTTGAGGTAAACAAAATAGAACAGTCATAAATATTCAAGTATTCAAACAATTATTTTGAAGGGCAAATTTGAACAGGATTTTATTTAGGATTAAAAATTAATATAGGTACACGAGTACCTGTGTACAGGTAAGGCAAGACTTTAACCGAACATAAGTACAAATTACACATGAAGGTGAGGCATGTGTCTTCTCAACCCTGTCTATCCGTAAATATCAACTGGTTCTCTGAAAACTGTCGTAAACTAATGTAACTCTCAAAATCTTTTAAACATTGTGTAATACCTCCTAAATACTTTAAGTTGGACTTACATTACTTTATTACCTATGTAGATATGTATATGAAAAGATAGCTGAAGTTATTTGTCTCTATACATTTTCTTACCACATCGCATTTTTTAAAGAGATGATGCAGCTCTTTGATGATTGCAGAATATTCCGCCAATCGTGTATATGTTAACGGAAATGTGTGTAATCCGTCATTGTATACAATTCCTAGGAAATGTATATAATTTCTAAAGTCACCAAGAAATGTGTGAAACTCATTATATTAAACACATTTCCTAGGAAATCTATAGATACATTTTCTAAATAGCAATATGCACTACATTCAAGATGCCAATGGGTACGGGGGGTTAGCGGAGCGAGACGAGGGTATTGATTCTCACATTACTAACGTGTTTCATTCATTTTATTCATAGAAAGCATTAGTTTTATATATTTCCTAGTACAATATACGAGTTTCATACACTTCCCAGGATGTGTGTGTATTAAAAAATCTTTGAAACAATATTTTACACATTTCCTAAATAGCCTCGGAATTGCATACAATTCCTGGATTTCATACATTTCCTGTAACATATATACCTTTAGTAACATTACAGAGATTGGAAACGGGCAAATCAATAGCTAAGTAAAAAGTTTTAAGTACGTACAGAGATAAAGTAAAAAATTCACCTAACTTAAAGATTACAAATTCCTTTTTTTTATGTGGCACGAGTGAGCATCTAAAGGTGGATAATTTGGTGATCGCGTGGAATATATTTTTTCAATCACGAATATCTGAAAATACCATCTATTTCTCTGAAAACTGTTCTGAACTAACCGAACTCACAAAGTCATTTAAACAAATCCTTATTGAATTCAGTTGTCAACTCGCCCCTAGTACATGTAGAGGATTATTATGACTGATTTGACTGTTATTGTTTCTAAAACATCATCAACAATAAATTACCAGTAAACCCGATAAAATACAAGTATTTTACGAGGGTGACTCTCTATCAATAAATAGATTCTGTACGATGCAACACAAAATTGTATCAGGTTGCCTGAAACAGATACACGTATGTACTTAATGATGTCAAAGAGCATCGGGAACATGTCACAGAAATGACGTTTTTAATTTCAATTTTCGTTTACAACATCGCCAAATAGTCCGCGTGTTTTGGACGCTTTTTGCTAATCCGAGTGTCACCTAATGATTATCTGATCGCGGTAGACTTTAGTGAGTAATTAAAATTTGCCCATAACAGAGTTGTAGCAAAAGCTGTAACCTAGCACATTCCGATCTACTGCAATTATGCCAACGGGATTACTTCAAAGTAGAAAGAGAGAGAGAGAGATACAGGCGAAAACGGATAATCCCATTAATCATTTGTAATTACTTTTCTGATTAATATCTGGCTTTACGTTGGTTGCATCGAAAATATTTTTCCTTTTCATTTGATAATAAAAACGAAAACTGTCAGCTTTATTATCGTCAATTTGGAACAGCAATTTCCTATAGGATCATTAAACGTTTTTGGGAAAATGTTTTAATTTATGGACTAACACAAATTTTTATCTTATGCCTAGCCAACACACTAAACCATTAAAAAAGAAATTGATCTAATAGTAAACCTGCAATCATTTATTGGAGCGGATTATTCAGAAAAATGAATTTTGTTGTCAAANTTCTTTTTTTTATGTGGCACGAGTGAGCATCTAAAGGTGGATAATTTGGTGAACGCGTGGAATATATTTTTTCAATCACGAATATCTGAAAATACCATCTATTTCTCTGAAAACTGTTCTGAACTAACCGAACTCACAAAGTCATTTAAACAAATCCTTATTGTATTCAGTTGTCAACTCGCCCCTAGTAAGTACATGTAGAGGATTATTATGACTGATTTGACTGTCATTGTCTCTAAAACATCATCAACAATAAATTACCAGTAAACCCGATAAAATACAAGTATTTTACGAGGGTGACTCTCTATCAATAAATAGATTCTGTACGATGCAACACAAAATATGTATCAGGTTGCCTGAAACAGATACACGTATGTACTTAATGATGTCAAAGAGCATCGGGAACATGTCACAGAAATGACGTTTTTAATTTCAATTTTCGTTTACAACATCGCCAAATAGTCCGCGTGTTTTGGACGCTTTTTGCTAATCCGAGTGTCACCTAATGATTATCTGATCGCGGTAGACTTTAGTGAGTAATTAAAATTTGCCCATAACAGAGTTGTAGCAAAAGCTGTAAGCTAGCACATTCCGATCTACTGCAATTATGCCAACGGGATTACTTCAAAGTAGAAAGAGAGAGAGAGAGATACAGGCGAAAACGGATAATCCCATTAATCATTTGTAATTACTTTTCTGATTAATATCTGGCTTTACGTTGGTTGCATCGAAAATATTTTTCCTTTTCATTTGATAATAAAAACGAAAACTGTCAGCTTTATTATCGTCAATTTGGAACAGCAATTTCCTATAGGATCATTAAACGTTTTTGGGAAAATGTTTTAATTTATGGACTAACACAAATTTTTATCTTATGCCTAGCCAACACACTAAACCATTAAAAAAGAAATTGATCTAATAGTAAACCTGCAATCATTTATTGGAGCGGATTATTCAGAAAAATGAATTTTGTTGTCAAAATATTATTTAACAAACAGAATTTCCTAATAACCAATCTTTTATTGTTAATTTCACAACTTTGACTACTGAATTAAAAAATATTTTCAGTATGTATTGATCCCTGTTGTACCTAACAGAATTTGTATTTGTTTAAACGAATTTATTAATATACTTAACTAACTTTTTTTTTTAATTATTCAAAATTGTATGGCAATATTCCACCTCGAATGGGTTAATTTTACTACTGAAAAAAGTTTTGTTTATCTAGTTTATAATTTGTAAAACGATTTGGACTTTAAAATTCAAATTTTATCATAATATCTACAACCCAAAGTTACCCTTTAACTCTTGAAAAGAAAGGAAGGGAAATAATTAATTTTTATAAAAGCACCTAATGATTATAATTCAAAAAAGAAAACGTATAATCAATAACAAGATTCCAGAAATGCCTAACACATTAAATCGAATGTAAAACTTTTATTGCTTCGTCAAAATTGTTTTTGTTTCAAAGTTTAATTAATAAACAAGTATTAATAACAAAAAGGAAATTAAAATACCTGGGATATAAACGGTTCAATGTGGCTATTAAAATAGTACATAAACGAACATGCTATACATTATATACATAGCAAATAACGACTGAAACTAAGATTTATATAAAAAAACACTCACCACAGTACTTTAGCAACATTTGTACTAATTAAATAATTAATTGCCATTCAAAATATCGTTTTTCAAAGTTTTTATTCACACCAACACTCGCGAACATCATCGCCCGACCGCGGCTCGTACAAAACTAGTATAAAATAGCAAAATTCACATTACCTTTCTATTTACACAAAGTAAAAAAGAAGTTCTCTGCTGAGAATAACAGATAAGAAAGACCTTGAAGCAAATAAAATGATGTTAAAGTATCGAGCCAGAGATACGAATTTTACAAAAATGATTCATACAAGGTGTTGTCTCTTTTACTGAGTTAGCAGGTACCAAATATTATTGCATTTTATTTTACTAGGCTTATTACGTCAAATATAGTTTTAAATAACTTAATCGTCAAATAAATTGCAATTAAAATTTATGAAACTTGAAGGATAGGATAAAACAAACGATCGAACAATTAAATATTAGAAAAAGGTAAAAAAGAAATCAAGAAAAACAACTAAATAAAAAGATTAATTGCAATCAATATCCAGTTTTTAAATATCAATTAAAATGTTGTGAATTTATAAATGTCAGCTTTTAGTGCCTACATATGAATGAAAACCTTTATTAGCAGATATGATTAGTCATACGTAAGCCGTGTGACCAATCGCTCCGCACTCTTTTTTTTTNGAGACAAAACATAGTAATAAAAAAAAAAATTATACAAGAAAAAAAGTGTAGTAGTAACATTTACTTGTTTGTGATAGTTTTGCAATTGATTTCCGATTTTTTTGTGTAAGTAGATGTTCTTACATGATATAGTAGCATAAGTAAGTAAATTTTGCAAAAAGAACTAAGTAGCTAATATCGGAAAGGTTGCCACAAGCCAGAATGTTCATCTCTTCTGAAATAATGTGGTCTATTATCACGAAAAACAGTCACCGCAGGGAACTGGTTGTCTTGGATATATTTAAGGGCTGTTCGTATCTGTAAATTATGAAACCCTAAATACAATTTGCCCTCGTACAGCTCAGGAACTCCAGGAATTACTTAATGTCGTTTTCACGTTGTCGATAATTTTAAAGAAAACTAAAAAAAATTTACCTGCATTACAAAATGTGGCGATTCCACTTCCGGAGAAGTTGCTAAATGTTGCAGAATAAATTCGTCACTTTGTTCCAACCACAAATCGACCCCTCTGAGTGGTTCGTAATTAAATGGTCCGATTCTCAACAGTCCCAAGTTACTATCGTAGACATCCAGTACCTGTTACAGAAGAAGCGGACAACACAAGTATAATACATAAAAAAAGAAAAAAGTTTGTTTATAATATTACCTGACTAAGTCCTGTCAATTGCCTGGCAGTACGTAGGGCCTGGTCGGGACCTTTATCTGGAAAAGTGGCAGGGAATATTTCTCCTGTTTTAATATTGACACCAACACCGTAAATTATGGGCCAGTGAATTCCCCCTCTCACGGTGGTGTTCAGTTCTCCAACGCAAGCGAGGGTCAAGTCAATTTCTATTTGCTGTTTGTGAAAAGATGCTGCAAAAAATTAAAAAAAAAAAACACCCTGTACCTACTTTTTTTATAGTAGCACAACGAAATTCAAGTATCCACAACTATTTTTATCTAATTTGTTATCGCCACTGATTTTTTCAACTATTAAGTTTATTTACAAAAAAATCGGTTGTCTGTAAAGTCGGTTTACTGACGATAGTCGAACGTGACAACGTCATAAGAAAATACTGATGGAATGGTTTCATTTTTCAAAAGAAAATTTTAATTTTATTTGTTTGATAGATATTTTGTATGGATATAGAGAAGGAGGTAAATGGAAATGTATTATTGT